TTCATATTACTATTTCCAATTTGAATTTAGAATTGTCAGATTTTTTACTTGTTTTGTTTTATATTTTTATCTATTTTTTCCAAAATGGCATGCCTCAACTCACATGGAAGAAGGAAAATACTGTGTAGAGATTCACACTTTGAACCTTTATCCGAGAAGGAACATGAGAGTTCAACAGAAAAGTGAAAGAAAATTTCAGCTACTGGAAAAGAAAGGTAAGCAGGCAGGCTGTGTGGTGGGGTCTGACTGAAAACCATGAGTGAATCTCGAATATGGAAGAGGAAGAGTGAATGTCTCTCTGCAATCCATCCTCCCACTAGGGAATCATGCAACGCAGGCCATAGGAGAACACTGTGACCTTCCTAAGCCCTGGAACTAACTTGAAGAGCAGCCAGGAGACTGTGAGAATAAATGACTCTGTGAAGTATCTCACCCACTTTCTCAGACCTGGCTACCAGGAGGAGGATGCCACTCTCAATCCTAGTTCATATCAAGCTGTGCAGGATCTTGCAAGCTGGTGGCAGCAGCAGCTGCTGTTGGCATTAGAGAGACTTGGGCTGGGGATTGGAGATCTGGGTCTCAAGCAGGGGAGAGGCTACCATAGCCAAAACTGAGAAATAAGTGAAATGTGGGCTCTTGCCACAGGCACTAGAACACTAGAATGGGGCTTCCCCCTTCACAGGACCAAAGCAAAAGAAGATTTGCCTGGAAAGCATGGTTTTGACCCAGGCAGTGAGTTTTACAGACTGGGGCAGCAACACAGAGGGCGAAATCAAATCGGTGGCTAAGCCCCACCGGGTCAGGGGCACGAGGGAGAGACAGATCCCACTCCCACTCTCTTGGCTATGGCACGGGATCACTCTCCTCCTCTTGTGCTGAGATCCTGACACAGCAGCAGGTGCTCCACTCCTTACCTGGGCATTTCTCTAGGAGCCTAAGGACTGACCTCCAATCCCCTTCATGGCTGGTGATTGCACCCGCCATTGAGAAGCCAAAGTGCAAGCTTGCCCAGTGGCTTCCAGGGGTGGGGAACCTGAAGCTTTCTGATTTCAAGATTTTTTTTTTAAGCACCAAATGAGGCAAAAAAAAGCTTCATCTTTCTCTGCTGCACCACTTTTAATAAAAGGATCTGTTCTGTAAAATTTGGATTCAGTGAAAAGACCACATTTAAGGACCTAGAAGGCCACATTTAGCCTTAAGGCTTTAGGTTCCTTAGCACTTCTGTTAACAGAGGCTTGGATAAACCCTACTGCTACCACCGCAGCTGGCTTCTTCAAGCACCACCTACTGGACTGGAGGTTGACCCACATAGCCCATTCAACAATATCTACTGACACAAGCGCACAATGCCAGAACAAGAGAGCTTGTCATGACTTCTGCTGCCCCATTGCCCACACTACCCTAGCTACTCAGAAGGACATGATCTCATTCACCTGCCCAGTACACTGCTACTACAAATGGCATTTGAGAAAGCCACCACAGTGAGGTTATTTACAACCAAGGAAATCATGCAGTCGTAGTCACTCAAAAATGAAGCTAAGTGGCCCTATTCGATGTACATCACAGTCACATTCTCAAGAAAAACAATTCCTGCCCCCAATGAAAGTAAATTCAAAAATAAGAAGAAATTGTTTCTCCAGATCCAAAGAAATCGGAATAATACAAGATGTATGAAAAAGGTACTATAACACCTCCAAAAGAATACAGTAATTCTCTAGCAATAGATTCTAACCAAAAAGAAATATTCGAAATTCCAGATAAAGAATTCAAATTATTGATTTTAAAGAAACTCAATGAGATGAAAGAGAAATCTAAAAATCAGAAAATCAATTCAGGATATGAATGAAAAATTAACCAAAGAGCTAGATATCTTAAAAAGAAAAACCAAACAGAACTTCTGGAAATAAAAAATTCATTAAAGGAATTATAAAATACTTCAACAGACTACACCAAGCAGAAGAAAGAATTTCAGAACTCAAAGTCTTTTGAATTTATTTAGTCACACAAAAATACAGAAAACAGAATAAAATAGAATGAACAAAGCCTTCAAGAAAGTAATCGAACTTATGAGTCATCAGTATTCCCAAGGAAGAAGAAAAAGCAAAAACTTTAGAAAACCTATTTAAAGAAATAATTGAGGAAGAGATTTAGACATCCAGATACAGGAAGCCCAGGAAAATACACTGAAATATCGACTTCCCTATGTCATATTGTCATCAGACTGTCTAAAGTCAATGCGAAGGAAAGAATTCTAAAATCAGTAAGAGAAAAGCATCTAGTTACCTATAAAGGAAACACCATCAGACTAACAGTGCACTTCTCAGCAGGAATCTTGCAAGCCAGAAGAGAATG